GCATAATAGGGACATATTTTTCTTTACCCTTTCTTCACGTCCTAAATGAATGGCCACAACCCAATGACTGGTACCTTTCTAATTCAAGTCAAAGGAAGGAGGTTGAATGCTGAGTCTGTGGTTTTTGTATAAGCTTCTTCTCTGTGATTCAGATTTCTCAGCTGCAAATATAAGATGAGTCATAATCATATCTTCCACAGAGTCTATCATGCGGTTGGAAAGAGCCAATTTACGTGAAATGCTCTTATTTGCAAATTTCCCAGCCTTCCAGCTGGGTTTGTCTTTGGCCTCCATTGAAAGCAAGGGGAAATGGCAGAGAGAGGACAGTCCAGGTGTGTGGGCCCGGGCTTTCTAGCCATGTTGATGCTTCTGAGTGCCAAAGTGCAGGTGGGCATACTCTGTGAGAGGCTCCTCTGCCCCCTGTAGAAACATTGTGAAGAGTTGCCTCACGGAGAACAAAGGCACTGTTGGGAGCTGAAGCACTGCTGAAAGGGCATGGAGGGAAAGGGTCTTAGAAGAATGGAGCCTGGGTCTGATGCTCAGTCTGGCCTGGGCCTTGAGTCAAGACTGCTGGTGTCTCCAGGGCTATGGGGTTGCACAGAGAAGCTTTTAAAAAGATTGTTATGCAAATGACATGGGTGTCAATGAACATTGTAATGAAGGTAAATTTCAGGACAATAATGTACAAGGTTAGGAGTCAGGATGCTGACTCATAACTACCTGCTGTTCCATGGGAGAAAGATGAGGCTTTCTGCCTCTGTCAACTCTCGGAAACTCTATACAAAGTTGCTAGGAGTTGGAACTGACTCCATGACACACAACCACTACCACCACCAACTATGAGTCAGAAGGACTTGAAGGCACTTAACAACAATGGTGAAAGAGGAATTCTGGTGTGACACTACAGGTTAAGCACTGGGCTGCTAACCACAAAGTCAGAGGTTCAAACCCACCAGCCGCTCCTTGGAAACAATATACAAGGTTGTTGTGAGTCCAATGGACTTGACTGGTACTTAACAACAACTACAATAGTGAAGGAAGACTTCCTACCATAGGAGTGTGTGCTAAAGTCAGGGAGTGAATGCCCTTTGTGGGTGTGGGGAGGTAGTCCACCAAAACATCTGGTCAATGGCTTGAGGAGGGGACAAGTCTCAGGGCTCCATTGCTGCCCTGGGGCCTCGAGTGCCAGGATAAGCCAGGTGGCCTGGGGATGTGGGCTGCAGTGCATGCCACTGGGATTGCGGTGGTGAGTGCGGCTGGTGGGGTTAGCAGGTGGAGTTGGGTGTTTGGAAAGCATCCAGTTACCTGTCCCAGAGCCTAACCTTTTGCTTAAGAAGGTGTGCAGGGGGGTAGAAGTTGTCCAAGACCAGAATTCCAGAAGCTGCAGGTCCCACCCATTTGAAGAAGAAATTGGTTTGTGGTAGTCTTTGTAGCCATGCGTCATCGCCCACCACTGCCCACCGGAGGATGAACAAGAGGTGGGGGAGTGGTGCATATGCGAATTTCCTCCAGGGAAGACACTATCTTTGGGCGTCTGGACCAGTCCCCCCAGGTGTGACCCCCGCGGTGCCTCTGGACGCCTGGTGTCCAGAGGAGCGTCAGCGGCTGCCAAAGGCAGGCTGGGGCTCGCCAGAATCTGGCTCCCCGCGACGACTCCCACTATACTGGACCTCTGACGGCCAGCACCACTGCCTGGAAGATGACCAAACCCAAGATCAACATCCATGACAGCCCGGCGATGCTTATTGTTTTAAAGGAAACCCCTTTGTTCCTCCGGTTTACTAAAGTAAATGCGCACAAAAATTTTTTTCTTCCTGGTCAAATCGGATCCCCGAATCCCAGCCGTCTGTGTCAGGTCTCCTGGCTCCTTCCTTTGGGCCGCCCGGGCACGAGTGTGTGGCACTGGGTATCCCGCTTCTGGCTTGGAAGGGGTTCGTAGCCACACCAGTCGCACCCGCACGGGGCTGGCAGGCCACTGAGCAGCCACCTCCCAGGCGCCGCTCTTCCGAGCCGGGTTTTCTTGGGAAGCGGATCGGCTCCAGTCGGTCAGCACTTCTGGTGGCCTAGGCCCAGCTTCCGATTCCATTTAAAACGACCGGCACATCTTATCTTGCATCGCCTCCCCGGGGTTCCTACCCACCCCGAGCCCTGCTTAGCGCCGGCGGAAGCGGAGCCGCGTGGGCTTTTGAAGTGCCCAGAATTTGAATCTGAGAGGAGCCGGCCGGACTGGAGCGCCCACAATCTGGGAGGATCCGGCGGGCCTGTGTGGGGGTTGGGTGCGGAGGGGTGGTAGGGTTGTCTCCCCGCAGCTGAGGCGAGAAGCGCAGGAGTCTAGACCGTACCCCATTTCGATAGCTGTCACCCCCCCATCCGCTTTTATCGGGCTTGTCCCGATTTTGGTGGCCGTGGACTTTTGGCTTTTACTTCGTCTGAGAATTTACCTTCGGTTTCTAGCCGTTTAGTGAATAATCCCCAGGGTACAATGATAATGATGCTATTAGACTATCTCCCCTCAAAAGACAGAAAATGTGTTCCAATGCGGTCCTTTTCTTCCTTCCATTAAAAATCTGACCTTTATTTCACTCTTCATTTGATGCTTTTAATCGCTTTTTTTCCTTCAGGTCTTTGCTGTTGGGACCTAGGGCATAATAGGCTCCTAAAGAGTGGGGAAACTGAGGCTGTTTTGAAAGAAGGGTAGAAATTGAGGGAAGGTTGGGGCAGTCCCTCTCCAGGATAGGCTGCACCCTTCCCTAGGACGCTGGAGGAAGCCCCCTCCACTGGGCCAGACCTAAGATGAAGAAGCAAGTGCCCATTCCTCCCTCGATCTCTCAGTCCTATTCCCCTTTCATCTTGAAGAGAAAACCTAAAGGAATAGAGGATCAAACACAGTCACTCCCACTGAATGCAAAGACTGGCTCAGGAACTGGAGTCCTCCTTCAGAAGATCCTTTCTGGAAGTGGGTGGGCTCAGGGGCCTCAAGGATCCCGAAGGAGAACCCCAGCCTACTGCAGGAAGGGCTCGGCTTTAGACTGTGAACTCTGACTACAGCTTTAAGACCAGGGGCCAGCGTTCTACAGACTTTGTCTGGGAGGAGACAGAAAGAATGAAGCTGGTGCTCAGTCATTCAGATCCGAGAGCACGAGTGGAGGGGAGGGGGTTGCGGAAACAAAAGGCTCTAGAGTTTGATCCTTGTCCCTCTTACCCATCACTTCTCTCGAACTTTAAAATTTTTTACCCCAATTTGTAGTGCAAAGGCAGTTTAGGAAGTCAGAGGGAGTGGAGATGTTTTTACACTTCCTGCCCTCAGGATTGCCTTGTGCCCCCTCTCCCCACCTACTGAAAAACCCCAAGGTGAGGTTAAAGGAGCTTCTTCTTAACGAATTTAAGAAGTCAAAAGCAAGAGTGAGGAGGAACTTTTGCCACTCCCCTCCCATAAATCTAACAGAAGACCGCGGAGGATTGGGGTATGGGATGGATAGGGAGCAGGGTAGTGTAAAAGGAAGAGGAGAAGGAAAAGGTAATAGGAGAAGAGGAGACAAAAAGTAGTGAGGAGTAGAGGGAGGTTTTTGTTTTTTTTTTAAGAATCTCAGAAATTGAGACTTTGTCTTCAGAACGCGAGAAGGAGGAGCGCAACGGCCTCTGGGGGCTGGAAGTTCTGGGGAGGGGCGGAGAAAGGGGAGTAGTAGGAGTCGCAGAGTGGAAAAGGCAGTCGCCTCGTAGTGTGTCCCCCCCCCCCAAGTGGGATGAGTCGTAGCCCACCTGCCCGCCGGGACACAGTCGCGCTGAAAGGACAGGACAGGCATTAGCTTCATAACTGGTCCTAACCCACCTTTTCTGGGAGATTAGCTGAGAGGGAGGTTGCGGCCGCCCCCCAGAGACAAAGCGCTCCTCAAACGTCCCCCAACCCTGCATCCTCAAAGATTTCACAGAGGCCCGGGGTCACTTGTTCTTTGGAGGCATTTTCCGTGCTTATCTTATCTTTTGAACCCAGCGCCACACACTTTTGGATTAGGGAACCTGGGCATGGGCTGAGGGAAGACCCTGCAAGTCAAACCACAGAGAACCTCAACGCAGTGTGCACTGGCATTCAACTCCCGCCCTCAGTTCCCGGGGTGCAACGCACGCAGTTACCTAGCTAGGGGTCTCTGGCGCCGCAGCCGCTGACGAGGTCGCTCTGGTCAGCACCTCATCGCACTGGAAACCTGTTTCTGGGAGAAATTCGTTGACTCTGAATAAGTAGCTTAAAATGCAAACAGTGTGGGGATGGGAATGGACACTCATACGCCCTCCCTACTCCACATACCTGCAATACCCGCGAGGTCAGAGCAAACGCGAAAGCGATTTCTTCAAATAGTCAACTCGAGGTCGATCCAGCTGAGTAGTGGAAGGCTTAAAGGCCACCTAATTTAGGGGACAAGGGAGAAAATATGTATATATATTAAATATAATCAGCGAACACTTTTATTCAGCAGCCAAGGAGGGTCTTTACAGAAAAAAAAAAAATCTGTAGCTCTTGGGATGGGGGATGGGGTGGGAGGTTGGAAAATAGCTAAATTCTTTTTTGGTTCCCTAGAGGAAGGCGACTGCTGGGGGTGTGGGGAGGGAGGGAAGAAAAATAAAGAGGAAAGGATACTCTATGCTTAAAGCTCTCCAGACAACCTGGGACGAAGGGGATACGTTTTTCTTTTCTTTTTTATTATTTTTCCTTCGGTAGCTTGTAAAAAGACTTCGGAACTCATCTGAGATTAACTCACCAAGGGCAGCTGTAGTAATGCCGAGACGAGTGAGGCTTGTGAGTCAGGCCTTCACACTTCTAAAATGCAGTTAAGGATTCTCTTATCAGTGTTACATCAAGGCACCAAATTAAAAGAAAAGCCGAAACAACAATAAAAAAATCAAAAGCGTATTCAATTACCGAGTCCCGCTGCCCCTGCGGAACTAGCCGCGCGTTAAGCTCTCTCTTTTCTTTCTGCGGAATTCCATTTGCATCCTCTCTGCCAGTGTGTGTCTCTTGTCTGTTTTCACACTCTCCTCCCCATTCGAGCAAGGCCCACACCTGGCGCATCACTGCCGAGCCATTAGCTGCGGGTCTCCTTTCATCTTCGTTGTGGCAGACGTTTCTATTTATCCACTTGCGCTGGCCGAGTGGCGTCACCAGCGGTACTGTAATGACGATTGCAGCGAGAGGATGACAGTTTAGAAAGAAGAGGGCAATGGGGCTTCCTCCCAGAGGCGGTGCGGCACAGAGGAGCGCTCGCATCACAAGGTGACCCCAGCTCCCCACCGTCACTGCCGTCACCACCGACATCGCGCTCTTGCAGCTCCGCGCCCGCCCTGCCGCCTGGCCTCTCTTTCTCCTTCCAGCAGCCAAGACCGGTTCGGCCGCTGGGGACCTAGGGAGTCTGGTGTTAGGTGCTCATTGGGGCTCCCCCCCTCCGGAGAGCCCCAGAATGGAGAGTCGCAAGGACATGGTTATGTTTCTGGATGGGGGTCAGCTGGGCACCCTGGTTGGCAAGAGAGTCTCCAATTTGTCCGAAGCCGTGGGCAGCGCGTTGCCCGAGCCACCGGAGAAGATGGTGCCCCGTAGTTGCCCTCCGGCCGCCCGGGAGCGCGACGGGGGAGGCCCGGAGGAGGAGCCGGTCGACGGACTAGCAGGCAGCGCGGCGGGTCCCGGCGCCGAACCGCGAGCAGCCGGGGCTGCTGTTCTTGGCCCTGGTCACCCAGCCCCTTCCGCAGACAGCCTCTCTGGACAGGGGCAACCCAGCAGTTCGGACACCGAGTCGGATTTCTACGAAGAAATCGAGGTGAGCTGCACCCCGGACTGCGCCACCGGGAACGCCGAGTATCAGCACAGCAAAGGTAGCCGCCGCGCCCCTCCAATCCCCGGTCGGCCCACCGCGCCTCTGCTCAGGCCGGGAGGGTGACACTTCTTTCCCCCAGGGCAGGGTGGCTGGGGGTGGAGGGGACCCACCTGAGAGACTCTCCCCTGCTATCTACGCCTTTGCTGGGGTTTCCTGCGTTCTGGTATTTGCGGGACTGGTGACAGCTGTGCCCTGGGAGAGGGGGAGTCGTGGGCTTGCGGGGGGTTCAGAGAGCGCCCCAACCCCCCCCCCAGTGTTTTGCGGGAATGCTTCAACTAAGCCGGGAAGACACCTTCCCTGGGCGTGGGCAGATCAAACGTCGGTCCCGGCAGTTTGTGGCGGGCGGGATGTAACGCGCATCTAGACGCGGATGCCTGGAGTCTATAAAGGACCGTAAAATCGTTGCCGGCTGGGGCGACCCGAGTACTGCAGCACTCTGACTCGTTTGCACTTCGGTCAGAGATCCAAATTACCTTGTCACTTCCCGGGCTCGGCGGCGCCAGGTCGGAAATGGTCCCAATGGTCTAATTGCCTTTGGTCTCCGGTTGCATTTGAAAAGGCAGAGCTCGCGCCCTCCTCCCCCATTCCTAGTTCTCTCTTCTCCACCCTAAGGAAAAGGAGCTGCAGGGGGCCCGGGCCCCACCCTTCTCTGGAGTACGCCCAAAGGGGTGGGGGGTGTCACACTGATTCAATTGGAGGACCCCTCCCAACCATGGGCTAGTGGGAGGGAGTAAATGGCCCCTCTGGGTGGGTGAATAGCCCGGAAAAGAGTTTTCCTTTCTTGCCAACATCAATCCCCTCCTGGGGGCTGGAAAATGGGAAGGGAGAGCCCACCAGCTCTGCCTGTCAAAGCCTTTCAGCCTACTAGCAGATACTCCTCCACCGGAATGGGAGTGGGTGGGAAGGGCCTGAGAAGAAAGAAAGACCACCCCTTGGCCTTGGTAGCCAACACCTTGTTGTGAACCCACACTCTACCATAACTTGCCCTCAGAACAACTTCTACGATAACTTACTTGCCCTCAGAACATCGTGACTACCATTCACGATGGATACCAGAATACTAACGTATGCACTCGGGTACCACCTCTGTAATATATGCAACCCAGTACATACTCCCAACCCTGCACCAGCAGCTGAGCACACACAAGAGTGAGGAAACATACTGTTTGGCCTGGCACGCAGCAAGGCCCTAAGACCCAGACTTCACAACACACCTGCACACAGGTTCACCTGGACCCAAATGCGTTTCAGATATGCACACCCTTGCCCACCCCTGTCTACTGGTGAGCAAAGATTCATCTTCCTGTGCTGGGGGGGGTGGGGGTGGGGCAGTTACAGGCTTCTTTACCCAGCAGATCTTAGACTATGAGTCTCTCAACCAGCATCTTGGAGGACAAGGTCTTCCCAACTGGGGTTTTTACAAACACAAACCTATCCTTTCCTCATACCGGAAGTCTGAAGTGCCTAGAAGGGGGAGTGACTGAGGCAGGTGAAGCGGGCCTGTCTTCTTTTTCCTTCGCACCAACCAGACTTCCTGGTCCAAGTCAGCGGAGTTTGTGTGTCTGTCTCTCTCTGTGTGTATACACGCACACGTGTGTGCTCTGGGCTCCCTGCACAGGGCCCGGTTCGGAGGCACTGGCCAGCAGTCCCAACGGCGGCAGCGAGGCCCCCAAGAGCAATGGCGGCGGCGGAGGGGGAGGCTCTCAGGGCACCCTGTCCTGCAGCGCCAGTGACCAGATGCGTCGTTACCGCACCGCCTTCACTCGGGAGCAGATTGCAAGGCTGGAGAAGGAATTCTACCGAGAGAATTATGTCTCCAGGCCTCGGAGATGCGAATTGGCAGCCGCCCTAAATCTACCGGAAACCACCATCAAGGTATGTGTGGGTCGAGTACGGGGCCCATTCAGAAAGAAGGAAGTAAATACCAACTGTCTGCTCCTTCGGCTGAGCCAGGAGTATGGACCTGGGGTCTCCTGCCACGTGGCTGAAAGGCCTGAGAGCCCTTCAGGCCCCGAACAGTTGGGCAGATTTGCCCAGTTCCTTAGGCAAGTACTGCTGCTCTACAGAGGACCTGTCCCAGTCTTAGCCAAATAGGACTGGGATGACTTTGACACTCTAGGTGGCAAGAGACTCTCCAGTTTGTCCTAAACCTAGGACCGACCTATGGGGGTGAAAAAGAAGTTCGTCCAATGAGAATGGTTGGAATTTTGGGAGACATTGCCTGGCACCTCTGACCAGCCTCCCTGGGTTCTAGCACCCCAGAGAAAGAAAAACAGGCACACAGGAGGAGGGTCACTTTCTGAACCTCGCTCCCAGGGGAGGGCATCATCTCCTGGAGTGGGCAGGGCTTTCGGGCTTTTGGGCTCTGGGCCGCTGGGCCAGGTCTAGCAGCCGACTGTGCTCGGCTCCTCCTGCAGGTGTGGTTCCAGAACCGGCGCATGAAGGACAAGCGGCAGCGGCTGGCCATGACGTGGCCGCACCCGGCCGACCCAGCCTTCTACACGTACATGATGAGCCACGCGGCGGCCGCGGGCGGCCTGCCCTACCCCTTCCCGTCGCACCTGCCGCTGCCCTACTACTCGCCCGTGGGCCTGGGCGCAGCGTCGGCAGCCTCGGCCGCAGCCTCCCCGTTCAGCGGCCCGCTGCGCCCGCTCGACACGTTCCGTGTGCTCTCGCAGCCCTACCCGCGGCCAGAACTGCTGTGCGCCTTCCGCCACCCGCCTCTCTACCCGGGACCAGCGCACGGACTGGGTGCCTCGACCGGCGGCCCCTGTTCCTGCCTCGCTTGCCACAGCAGCCCGGCCAACGGGCTGGCGCCCCGGGCTACCGCTGCCGCCGCTTCAGACTTCACCTGTGCCTCCACCTCCCGTTCGGACTCCTTCCTCACCTTCGCACCCTCGGTCCTCAGCAAGGCCTCCTCTGTCGCACTGGACCAGAGAGAGGAGGTGCCCCTCACCAGATAAGGGGCCGCCCGCGGGCTACCAGCTCCAGGATGCCCGTGGGGCGCTCCTCGGGGACTCAGTCAGTGCCCCTCACCGACCCAGGACACCGAGGAGAAAGGAGAGGGCCGCAGAGGACCAGAGAGACACGGGCTCCAAGATAGGGATGCCTGGGAAGCGGCTGTGGCTGGCGCGTTTAGGAAGCAGAGTGGGAACAACCGGGAAGCGGAGGCTGAGCAGGACCTCCTCTGGAGTGGCCGCTCGCTCTGCCATTTGGACCCACTCCTCTGCCTCTGCTCAGGGTGGAGGCTGTGGATCCAAAGCTAAATAAAACTTCCGCAGCAGCAATATCCAGCTTCTCAGCCCTTCCCCGCCCCGCAAGCCCCTTCCACTCCTGAGACCCCCTCCTTCTTGCCAAGGCCAAGCCCACCACTGAAAAGGGGAATTGCTGTCTCTCCTAACAAAAAGCTGTGTATGCAGAGCAGGTAGAGCTTAATCTTTGCCAGCTTTCCCAAGGCATGGCAAGGGGCTTGTGGATGGCTGCCCAGCCTTCTATTGGAGAGAGTGAGACATGATTTACTACCATGGAACCTGGGGGCTCTTTTAGCCTTCCTGGAGTCTCAGTTACACAAAGTCTTCTGGTTGACCAGCACCTGATCACGTTCCTCCCTCCCAGCTTCATGACATTTCTCATCTTGCAACTCCACCCCCATCTCAACACACTTTTTGTTTGATGTTGGCAGGGAAGCTTCTACTGCCTCAGAGTCCCTTGGCGGCTATGGGGAGGCCAGGATTCTTCTCCCAGAGCCCAGCGCACACCCTGATTAGCAAGTGATGTATGTGAGGAGGATTTTTGAATGTTGAATGTATAATAAAAATCACCAAGCGGCTGGCTACTGAGCTCAAGCTGAGCTGTTAACAAGGTGCCCAGGGAAGAGCTTAGGGAGTGGGGACCTCACTTCCCTCTCTCAGTATCTGGCAGCAAATTAGAGACCATTTCTATCCTTTATCCATTCACTTTGACTTCAACAGAAGCTTTCTGATTTTCCCTTTGCATTTTGCATTTTGTATCCTTCCTCATTTTACTCCCCCCTCTTCCTGAAGGTACCACTGTTCTTAACTCTCAGATACTACCATTGGAAGCCTTCTGCTCCTTCACCAGATTTGAGGGTCATCCCAAAACCCTCACTTCATGTGCATTCTTGCAACCAGCTTTTGAGGGAGAAGAAACTTTGTTAAGTCCCCACCCTTCATACAAGGTTCACCCACACTGGGAGGGAGTTCTTCCTCTTTTCTGTAGGGAATGAATTTGTTTTGGTTTGGTTATCCTTCAAAGCCCAAAGAATTTTGCTGTTACAATTTGTTAACCGTATTGCAATAAAAGCTGGACATGATTCTCATCTGATCAGTTTTACTTATTTTGCCAACAGGCAGCACATTGGCACTTTTAAAATTGCCAGTTCAGTTACCATGGGTTTGGGTATGAACAGACCAGAAGATGAACCCATAGTCTCCTAGGCCCCTGTTGAGTACTGGTCATCTCCAAAGGGACACTGGGCAGAGGTTGGGAAAGCAGGCTCCCAGACTCTTTGGGGTGTGTGCTTCCTTAATTCCATCATGCATGCTGGTCTACCCCTCCTTGCTTGAACCATGTGGGTCTATCACTACAATGTTAATACCTCTAATTCCTCTAGCCCTTTAAAGAAAGAACCCTTAGGGTGGCCTGACTCCTCTCTGATCCAATGTGGAGGCTAGTAAGGCAATGTCCAGGAATCCTGAGCCCCCTCAGAGAGCCAGGGTGGTAAGCCTAGCCTACCTGTCAGCATTGGAGCTGGCAGGGAAAGAGGGAAGAACTACTAATTGTAGTGTTGTTGTTGTTAGGTGCCATCGAGTTGACCTGACCCTATTATATGCACAGCCCAACCCTGGGCCAACCTCACTGTTGTTGCCAGGCTTGGGTCCATGGATGCTGCCACTTGGCCAATCCATCTTGTTGGGGGTCTTCCTCTTTTTCTCTGAGGAATTGGGGTGAGAAAGCCTGAATTTCAGATTGAGGCATCATCCCTAGGACAGAATTCTAGGTGAGTCAGGGCAAGGGACAGACAGATAGTTTTCAGTGTTTAACCTCACCTCTGCAGGAGAGACAAGCTTGGCTGCTCTGGAGTCTGGCTCAAGCAGAGGAGAGATGAGTGTCCTCAGCATGGTGTGAAACCCAGGGATTGCTGGATGCTGAGGGCTGTGGAGGCTCTTCTTTGGCCTCCTTCTCACCTTGGGCTCCTGAGCAAATGCTCCGGCACCCTCTTAAGCAAATCTTGACACCAAGGTTTACTGCATCTCACCCCCAACCCCACCATCCCTGTGTAGCTCCTTCCACTTCTGGGAAGCTCTTGGGTGCCAAATCTGGGCAAATTTTGCTGTTGTTCGGCATCAGGCTGAGATTGCTTGCGACAGGTAAATGGGCTGCGGGTTGCCGTAATGCCAGGCGTATTTTCAGTTAATAGGGAGGGAAAATGAGGTGTCTGCAGCGATATTGGAAAGTACAAGATCGATGATCCGGCCTCGTGTCCAATCAGCAGCCTTTAATTGACTGTATTTTCTGGGTAATTGAGCCTCTCTTCCTCCAAATTGAAGTGGAAGATATAACAATACATCTTGCCAGCAGGAATTACTCATTACTTCATAATGAAATTTCCCTTTTGCCAAGGTTTGCGGTTTGGCACTAGGCACCACCCCCACTAGCCTCCGTTCATAAAAACACATTGCTTAAGCCCACCTACACTGGGCAAACACCCTTTCCGGTCTGACAAGCTCCATTTTGGTAGTTTGTGAGTGTGTGTGTGTGTGTGTGTAGCGGAGATGGTGGTGTGAGATGACCCTAAAGAAGGCATAGCCTCTGCTCATTTTCAGTCTCTTCATTTGTAAAACTAGAAGACTAGACTAGATAAGAGGGCGTGATCTGATTTTCTTTCTTCAACTTTCTGATTGCCTCTACTCAGCTTTCTCCCATAACAGTTCCAGTTTGCAGGTGGGCAAACAGAGGCTTCAGGTCTCAACAGTTTTAAGTCACAGATGGAGCTATGCACTCTGGGATTCAGCATCCCTTCCCTCTTCCACTTTATGTAGGAGACTTTGATGGTCATCCCCAGTGAGTCTGACACCTCATTTCAGACTCACACTTTCCCACGGTTCCATAACCCTGCCATTGGCCATTGCCTGGCATAGTCGGGAGTGCGGACCAGTGTGTTTGGCCTCAGGTCTGCCTGGCCCGGCAGGACCCGCCACCCTGCAGCCCAAGTGAGTGCCTGATGAAGCCAGTCGTCGGCTTGTTAGCGCATGATTGATTGCCTTATTAAAGCGTGTTCTTGTAAGTGTGACCAAACTGATTGCATTGCATATGTTTGGGATAATGTTCATTTTAAACAACAGGATAAAGAGGATGAGCTCGGCAGATCCTTCGAAGATGAAATGATTCTGGCCAGCAGCTCCCTAACTCTGACATTAAATTGCCCAGTTACATAGCAAATCACATGATGCCTCCACCCCTGTGCCCATTATTTTTTTCTGGCTTGCAGTTTGATCCTATCTTCCAATATGGTCTGTCCCACAGATGCTTTCTCCAGTGACTATGAGGTTGACCTGTTGAGGTAACCCAGTCTTTGAGGCCTCCCTCCACCCAACCAATCACAGGTAGAAGAAGAAGCAATTCTGAACACATCCTCCTACCCTAGCCCTCCAAGGGGGACATGGCTCTAGACGGTCACTCCAGCATGAGCTTCAGTCCCCCAGCAATTCGCATGTACCTCCAAGCCCTTTTGGGAAAGTTTAGAAAATTCTTTTGTTTCCCAGACTTCTCCCGCTCTGTTGCTTCTATTATCCCCTATCAGAGGAAACCCCCGCCGCCATATGTTGCCTGAGAGCGTAGGTGTCAGTAGTGTAGCTGCTGAGATGGTCTAAAGGATGGCATTCTCTGGTGGGAAGAGCTTTGCTTTTTCAGCATCTTCTCCTTGGTACACAGTCACCCAAGTGGGAAAGGGAGCCAGTAACTAGGGGAGGGGAGGGACGAAGGGAAAAAAAAATGGGGATTTCTTTGAATTATCCTACATCTCCCCTCACCCCCCAAAACCATTCATTTTGGCAATTTACCCCTTCTGTGCTTGTTCCCTTTCTAACAAAGAAATCCTCGGCCACCTCCACCCACTTCTGACACTTTCACAGAAGCCTACCGGCTTGCAGACTGAACTTCCTAATGGATACTTTTGGGATAAACTGGAATTCTGACTTGTTCAAGATGATGCTGGTTATCAGAACAAATAAGAAAGGATGCCACTCTTCCGGGTGCCATTTGCAAGCGTAATCATACAGATTCGTTTGCGAGATCCAGCTCAAATGTGTTTGGATTAGTGACTTGATTGGAATGGCCAATTTCTTTTATCACTGAGATGAAGGCAAATAGGCACACTAGACTGCATTAGGATGAAACCAAGGTCCAGCTCAGCACTTGTGCCAGCTTTTGACCTTCGAGATTGTTGACCCTAAGGGGAAAAAACCCACCCAACCACATGACACATACTATAATATTCAAAGCAAACAGAAAAACGCAAAAGTCGTTTCTAAAATCGCCTCCTCAGCATCTAAGTATGTGTGAAATTCTGAGCAGGAGCAGGAGGGAGAGAAAGATTGCCACTTAAAAATAACATGAAAGCATTAAGTAATTATTTAAAACAAGGCTGTTTAGAAAAATATTTGTATTTATTGCAGCTGCTCAATTGGCCTCGTTAAAGTCGGCAAGCATTTAAATTGTGTTACAATCTCATTTAAATCCCTCTCCGTTCCAGCAGGCTGAAGAGCTTGAATAGACCAATCACTTCATAATGATGATGAATGAGAAATTAATTCAGATACAAGCAAGACAATTTAGGCCTTCATCTGTTTAAATAGCCTTCCAATATTATTCGCGATTGCGGGTCACAGATTGAATCAATTGTCCAATCTTGTGAAAGTCATATCCTTGCATCTTCATCGAGATTATTTATAGCGCAGTGAAGGCTGCTGAAAGGTATACGCTGTTAACAGGGACAATTACTTAAAGGGAAGCGTTTATAAAATGGAAAACAAATGCCGGGGTTGGTAACAAATGGGATC